GAAAATGTTCTGAGGTTCTAAAAAGTTTTAGGTTGGTAATACAAGTTAGGATGCAAAGTGAATTTGGTACAAAACTTTGGACTCATCAAGATCGGATAGATAATGGAGTATTTTCTCTGAATTTGCTAAACACAAATCAACTGGACATTGTGAATATAATTCTTGATAAGTGTTCTTATCGTACATAGTTTTACTTCGTTAAGCTTAAAACTTTCCCTTTTATTTAGCCAATACTTGATAACTGTTCTCATTGTATATAGTTTTATTATGTTAAGAGTTAAAAACCTTTCCTTTTATTTAGACAAAAACAAGGAACTCTTGTGGGGTAGTCATTCACATTGACACTCCAGGACTTCCAAAAAAGTTAAGCCTTGAATAAGAAGGCAGAGTCAGTGACTGGCTGGCCAGAATTAGCCATAGACCTGTTGGAGGACAGAGGAAGTCTGACAGGCACAGGAAAAGACAAAAGGGAGCTTGGGGAGGTTTGGGATCTTTTCAATCTAGGAATGCTGTTCTTTGGTTTTTAAATCTCAACTTCTGACTCTCAAGTTTTTTTTTATTAATACTAGAACAATTAAGATAAATGCATAACACGACATTTTCTCCAAAACTGATGACATACTTGGACACAAAGCAAGCCTCAACAGATACAAGAAAATCCAAACAAGACCTTGCATCTTACCTAAGCACCACAGTTTAAAGCAGGGTATCAGCAACAACAGAAACAACAGACAGTTCATAAACTCCTGGAAACTGAACAGCTCACATCCGAACAAAAAAAATTGGTCAAGATGGAAATTCAGAAAGATATTAAACTTTCTAGAAATGATTAAAATGGATATATACTCAGACTTACAGGACACAATGAAAGCAGTTTCAGGAAGAAAGTTCATAGCACTAAGTGCCTATACTAAAAAAAAAAAAAAAATTGGAAAGATCTCATACTAGCAACTTAACCTCACACCTGAGAGCTCTAGAACAAAAAGAGGCAAAGGCACCCAAGAGGAGTAGTCGGCAGGAAATAATCAAACTGAGAGCTGAAATACATAAAATAGAACAAGGAGAACAATATAAAGAATCAATGAAACAAAGAGTTGGGTCTTGGAGAAAAATTAGTAAGAGTACAAACCCTAACCAAAGGTAATACCCATATCAGCAAGCTCACAACCACCCGTGAATCTGGCTCCAAAGAGAACCTCCTCCCTCTTCTGGCCTTAATAGGTCACCACACTGAAGTAGATATACCCACAACCCTGCAACATGCACAATCACACATGATTACACAGAATTAAAAATAAGAAAAAAAAAAAACCCTAACCAAATTAACTAAAAGAAAGAGAAAATATCCAAATTAACAAAAGTAGAAATGAAAAGGGGGATATAACAACAGACACCATGGAAATCCAGAAAAGCATAAGGAAGAAGTCAAGGAATCTTTATTTGCATATGATATAGCATACACAAGTGACCCAAAAAATCCCACCAGGGACTCCTAGAGCTGATAAACATTTCAACAAAATACCTGCTTACAAAATTAACTCACAGAAATTAGTAGTCTTCCTTTATACAAATGACAAACAGACTGAGAAAAAAAAATTAAGCAAATAACACCATTCACAATAACCTCAAGTAGTACATTATATTACTGGAGTAACTCTAACCAAGCAAGTGAAAGAATTGTATGACAAAGTCCGAGGCATTGAAGGAAGAAACTGAAGAAGATACCAGAAAATGGGAAGATCTCCCATGCTCATGGGTCAGTAGCAAACTGATCCACGATAGCAGTTAACACAGATAAAATGGCCATCCTACCAAAAACAATTCCCACACCAAACTGCCAACACAATTCCTCACAGATCTGGAAAGGACAATTCACAGCCTCACACACAGAAAAAACCCAAGACAGCTCAAACAATCCTGACCAATAATGGAGGTGTAATCACTCCTAATTCCAAGTTGTATTGCAGAGCTATCTAATAAAAATAGGACACCATTGGCAGAAAACCAGACATGTCTATCAAAAGAACTGAACTGATGACCCAGACATAAATCCACACACATGTAGACATCTGGTTTTTGATAAAGAAGCCAGAAATACACACTGGAAAGAAGACAACATCTTCAGAAAATGGTGCTGGTCAAACTGGATACCTGCACCTAGAAGATGCAAAAAGACCCATACTTACCATCCAGCACAAAACTCAACTCCAAATGGATCAAAGGCCTCAACATAAAACCAAATGCACTGAACCTGACAGAAGAGAAAGTGGAGACTAGGCCTTGAACTTAGTGGCACAGGAAAAGACTTTCTGAACAGAACACCATTAGCACAGGGACTGAGATCAACAATTAGTAAATGAGACCTGAGAAAACTGATAAGTTTCTCCACGGCAACAGACACAGTCATTCAGAAAAAATGGCAGCCAACACAATGGAAAAAGATTTTTCCCAACTCTACACCCATTAGATGACTAATATCCAAAATATATAAAGAACTCAAAAAAACTAGATATCAAGAAAACAACCCAATTTAAAAATGGGGTACAGAACTAAACAGAGAATTCTCAACAGACTAAACTCAAATGGCCAAGAAACATTTAATGAAATGTTCAACATCCTTAGTCATAGGGAAATGAAAATCAAAACTAATTAATTCAAGAGTCTGACAGAATAGCTTGTATAAAAATCACAAGCGACAGCTCATGCTGTTGAGGATCTGAAATAAGGGGAACACTCCTCCATTGCTGGTGGGAGTGCAAACTTGTACAGCCACTATGGAAACCGGTGTGGTGGCTCCACAGGAAGACGGGAACAGATCTACTACCTCAAGCTCCAGCTGTACCACTCTTGGGCATATACCCAAAGGATGCTTCCTTCTCCTACAGAAACACTTGGTCAACCATGTTCACTGCTGTTCTAATCACAGTAGTTGGAAACATGGAAACAACCTAGATGTCCCTCAACAGGATAGATAAAGAAAATATAGCGCATTTACTCAATGGAGTACTACTTTGCTATTAAAAAGAATGAAATTTGCAGGATGCAACTAGAAAAAAATATCTTGAGTGACCCACAGGGGATGGAGGATACACACACACACACACACCCTCTAAACACCACAAGGGAAGCTCACAAGAGCTCACAGAGACTGAAGCACCATGCACTGGGCCTGTAGGTGTCTGCAATGGGTTCTCTCTCTCTCTCTCTCTCTCTCTCTCTCTCTCTCTCTCTCTCTCTCTCTCTGTGTGTGTGTGTGTGTGTGTGTGTGTGTATTAAAGCTTTCAGTTCACTGTTTTTATGGGATTCCTGAGTGGGCGAACAGTGGGTCTCTGATTCTTGTCCCTTCTCTTGGGCTCTTTTCCCTGTTTGTTTTGTCCAATCATGATGAACTAGTTTTTCTTCTCATTATCATCCCTTAGAAGCCTGCTTGTTTCTTAATCAGAGAAAGAAACTGAGCGGGTCTGGATGGAAGGGGAAGTGGCGAGGACCTGGGAGGAGTAGAGGAAGGGGAAACATTGGAGAAAAAAAAGCCCATTTTCAATAAAGGGGTGGGGGAAGAGTCGTCGAAATACCTCATCCAGATTGCAGAGATACAGCACCTGAGCTTAGGGAATTGGGAAGTGTTACAGAGCTGGGGCTAAAAGCAAGCAACTTAATAAGGTGACCCCATAGCCTAAACCCTCATTCAAACCTTTATTTGAATATGCTATTTTAACTGATTTATAGCTGGGCAGAAGACCAAATTAAGTCACTCATTTTACTGACATAACTCTCAAGCCTAAAATTAAAATCTTCAGTGAACTATTTTTAATTTAAAACAGTTCTTGCCCTAAAAACTAATCAACAGTGAGATGTGAAAGACAGCTTAAACAGCCTCAGGCAGAACAATTACTTTCCTATTTAAAAAACCCTCAGTATTATCATTATTTCCACCTGTAAGTTCAGAAAACGAACTCTCTGGTGGAGGTGTCAGTTATAAAGGGGTTTACAAGTGGGACTGTGAGAATTTTTTTTACGGGGTTCAGTGTAGGCAACAGGATGTGAGAGGCAATCCCATCAGGCACAAAATAGATGAGGACATCAGTTTGAAAAGCTGGCTGTTTGACAAAAGGCACACTTTTCGTGTGGGCATTTAAAAAAGTTTTCAGAGACACACACTAATGTAGAACTAGACTCAGCTGTGAGGGTGTAAACGCGGCCCAAACACAAACCGGTGAGGACAGGGTAGTGAGAGCGTGGACTTTTGCTCGTGGTTTGCTTCACCCCCCCCCCCGCTCCCCCCCCTCAAGAGCACAGGGAACTCTCTAAATAAACCGCTGGCGCAGAAGAAAAACTAATAAAGCCCCTGGGTGTCCACGTTAGGTCCTGGTGGACTCGAGTTCATCCCACTTGGTAACAAACAAACAGCAGCCTCAACTTCTGAGTCCTTCCCGGGCCCTGGGAAAGAAACTGCGAGGAGAAGGCGTGGCTGCAGGATTTTCTCAGTACCCCTGTAGCAGGTGGTACGTCCCTGTCTTTGTAGCTGTACACCCTAGGGCATCCAGACCTTGGGCGCCGAGTCCAGGTGGAATTCAGAACCGTTCCTGCCAAGCTTATTGCTGAAAACCGTCCGTTTCCTACCCCCACAATTCCCACCGCCAGCTTCCCAGTTTAAGTTTTAGTTACGTAGAGCTGCCCAGCCCTACAGAGCCTGCAGGGGACGCGGCGGCTCTGGGTTGGGAGAGTAAGGATGCTTGCTCCTAACCGTCAGCAAGTGTAAATTTATATTGGCAAACAGCAACCCTTGTTCCCAAAGAGGACAGGTGGGCACAGAAACGGTGGGCAAGGTACGTGTACACACACACACACACACACACACAGAGGAGAGAGAGAGAGAGAGAGAGAGAGAGAGAGAGAGAGAGAGAGAGAGAGAGAGAGAGAGAGAGAGAGAGAATATGAATGAATGACACCGGAACTCTGGAAGGTCGCTTGGCAGATCTGCGGGTGGTCGTTGGACTTACCTTACAGGGAAACAGAACTGCCGAGGCCACCTTCTCCATAGCCAGGTTCCTGATGCTGGGCGTTAGGGCGCCCCTGCACGTCGGGCAGCAGCTCAACTTCTGGCGGCATTGGTTACACACCAGGTGCCCGGCTTGGCACTGCAGAATAGGGGGCAGGACATAGTCAAAGCAGACCGGGCACTCGAAGAGCGAGGTCAGCTCGTGGTGCTGCGGGGATACCGGGCCGGCCCCACCGCCGGCGCCGGGGCCTGAGATCACCGCTGCCGCGGCGGGCACCGCGGACGAGCCGGGGCCCGCAGCCGAGATGGTGGCGGCGGCCGGGGGCGCAGCTGGCGACGGAGCGTGCGAGGTCTGAGGCGGCGGCGGCTGCTTGCTGCAAGGTTTGTTAGCGCTGGGGCCGGTGGAGGACGGACGGCTCATCGCGCTCCGAGCCCACCATGGACCTGCGGGCGTCTGCCTGCCGCGGGGCCGCCCGGATCAAGGCGGTGCGCGCCCCGCGGGTGGCGGACTCCGGGGCAACGCCACGGCGCCCAGTCCGGGGAGCGGGGGAGGGCGCGGACCCGACCGGCACCGGGAGGGCGGGGACAGGACCGCGCTGAGCCTCGCCGCGGGCGCCCGGAGTGGCCGACGCTCTCGGGGCTCGCGGCCGTGCGCTCTGCCCTCCTCCCGCGGCGCTCGGCTGGGCTGCGCACAGTCCCGGCCCACCCGCTTCAGGAGCGGCAGCTGACGCAAGCCCCGGGGGCGCGCGCGGACGTGACGCTAAGACACGTGTGCGGCCGCCCCGGCGCGCTGGGACTGGCAGAGCCACCCCGCGGCCCGCCGAGCTCCGCCCGACCCGGCTGCCAGCGCCCAGCCGGGGCCGTTTCCTGCTGGACGATTCGACCGGCCGGTCGCCGCGCGCGGTCGCTTTCTGGGCGGTGGCGGAAGCCGGTGGCCCCGGGAGGGGACGTTGCCTGGAGTCCTTTGACCTTTCCCAGGGGAGCCACGCCGACACACGCCCGGTCTCCGGCTAAAGGGCAACTGGTGGCCGGACGGGGGCATGGGCGGCGCGCTAGTGCCATGGGGAGGGGCGGGACGGGGCGGGGGGCGGGGCGTGGAATCCCCACGTTTCTCTTGGGGCGGGGATGAGTCACCGGTGCGCGGGAGAACGCGGCGACCGGGCTGCTCGGCCGGTAGCCTGCCACGCGGGGGCGGGACCCCGAGTCGGGCGGGAACGGTTTAGGGACGGGGCTAGTGGGCGCTTCAGGAGGTAGAGGGGGTTTCCCATGGAAAGTCCACTGGCGAAAGCGACTTAGAATTGAGCGCCTCCGATTTAGAGAACCCTGATGTCTTGGACATCTCTGACTGGATGGAGAATTAAAGTCTCCAAGGAATACCAGAAGCGTGACTTGGGTTTTTGAGGCCCAGAACGACAGTAGGGAGACCCTCAGTCCTCAAAGACCTGAGTCCTTAATGTCTAGTCCCAGTCCAAGCCTTAGGCAAGCTCTGAAGCTTACCGGGGCTTGAGGGGGAAAGAAATGGGCGAGCTCAAAGCACCTGTTGCCAATCCCCATCTTGGCAGGACTGCCGCTGGCTTCCTTCTCGGTACTCTGTGCAGCCTGGCATGTGGGAGGTCTCAGAGAAAGAGCTTAATAAAGGGCGCACGGGGGCCCTAAGAGATGCCTCAGCTTGCTGCTCTTCTAGGACCAGACTTTGATTTCCAGCACCTGCAATTGTTTGTAACCCCAGCTGCAGGGGATCCGATGCCAGTTGGCATCAGTACCCGTGCACACAGATGCACATGCCCATAAAATAAAAATTAACCTTAAGTGGGGGTTGGCTTGGGGGAGCAGAGGGCATCTCCAGCCTAACTTCCATCTCTAGTAATAAGAGCATCTACAAGGGTCTCTGTAGAGCTTTCCAGACACCCACCCCGCAGGACCCACCGAAGTTACAGAAGCCTCGGAACCTGGAGCGAACCATATTTTAATAGAATGGATACCAGCTGCTCATAATTGCCTGGGCAAAAAAGTTTTATGCTCGAACCCATGATGTTAGAACTGGTAAAGCTGGTAGGGTGTAATTTGCAGGAGAAACAAATTAGTGAAGACGCGGCAAAAATAGTGGCCCCCGTGACTTGGAGCAAATTCTTTGAATATCCTAATTTAGTTTGTACGTGACTGTCTGCACATGTGGGGGTCAGAGGATAGTTTTTGTGGAGTCAGTTTTCTCAAGTTGTCTGGCTAGGTGGCAGGCACTCTGCCACTGAGCTATCTTCCTGGCCCCAATGTCCTACTCTGTAAAAGTGAGCTTAAACAGTTGAGGTGGGCTTTGAAGGAGTTTCATGAACGCTATTCTTGTCGAACCTCATCCATCATAAGCACCTTGGAAATGTTAGCTTGCAGCTTAAAATGCAGGGCTCAAAATGTGGCTCAAAAGAAAAACGGAGTTAACTTTTGTAAATTACCTAGGAAGACTTCATGGGTGACGGGGTTATCTAAAACTCAGAGACTTACTAGGTATAAATGTCAGTGACCCACAAAATATTCCCTAGGATTTGTGTGTGCCAACAACTGTTCAGGCTCTGCAAACGGTTCTCACTCAGTTTACATTCTAGAAAGGACTTGAGGCCAGTAAAGCCTCGGGGGAAAGAGCTGAGAGGACCTAGGCAGGGTGGTTACAGGACTGTCATCTCAACTCCTTGGGAGACTGAGGAGGAGGCCAAGTTCACAGAGTGACTTCAAGGCCAGCATGAACAACTTAGCAATGCTGTCCTCAACCGAAAAGAAAGGTAGGGCTGTGGCTTAGTGGTATGGTGCTGGTCTGGCCTATGCAAGGTCTTAGGTTCAATTCCTAGTAATGCAAAAAGGTAAAATACAGAGGGGGTATGGGGGTGCAAAGACAAGGTGAGAAGGGAACACACGGGATAGGGCTGGGTGTGTGTAATGCAATGTGAGTGTTGTCGTATGAACAGCAATAGAATGAATAAGGCATTTGTCTAGGTATTCAGGAATCACTGGATTTTCTTTATTTTTTTTAGAGATCTGTGATGTATTGAACTTGAACTTCTAGGTTGGTGGCTGTGGAGTCTATAAAATAATATTTATTGAGCATCCACTATGTGGGAAAAGATGGCTTTTTGGATTCTGCAGGCACCATATTATTGGATGGACGCTGTGGTTACAGTCATGGAAACAGGGACATTGGGAGTTTGGTTTGCTCAGGGCCACACAGCCCAGAAGGCTGGAACCTGCTCTGGAACCCTTATCTTTATCTGACTCCTACGTCACTGAGATGAGGCGATTAGCTCACTCTCTAGATAGAGTCAGAAAGCAGCTTCACAACCACAATGAACTGTGTGGGCCATGGTCACTGCTTCTTAGCCGGTCTGCAGAGAAAAGGTCGAGAAAAGGTCGATCCTGGTTATTAGATTTTCACCGTTGTTGAGCACAAAGAATGTAAGAGCAATGTCAGGAAATGAAAGCAGTCTCTCCTTTAGGGGAGAGTATATGTATTCCACCCAAGCTAGAAACCTAGCAGCTGGAATTTATGACAGACTGCATTCCCTTGCCGCTGACCTCTGGTGTCTGTCAGGAGTCCCCGTTCCTGGAATGTGCTAAAGGTCACTGCAGAAGTGGGCTCTTGGCCTTGTCTCTGTTGACAAGGGCTGTCACCTCCTGATAATTCAAAAAGAAGTATGGTTTCGGGGCTGCTGACGGAAAAAAAAAAAAAAAAAGGAACAGAGAAAGCAGTTCCCTGCTGAGAGAATTTGGTTTCTAAAACTGCAACTGACCTATCAACTCTTACCCCAGCAGATGAATCACCTGGTACAGAGAACTGCTTTCATTTTAACCACGGGACTCCTGATTAAGGTGACCGGGGTCATTAAAAATAAAAGCAAAAGCCAAATGAGAAGTCTCTTGGCAGTTACTGACAGTAGCCAAGGGGACAGGCCTGGTGGCCCAGTCACACCCATGACCTCACATGCTGCTAGACTGGACTTTCCAGCCTCCCTTCTCCTCCCTGAGGGGCTTGCGTGAGAGAGGTGGCCTTTCCATGTGGGGAGCCTGAGCTCTTCAGAGAGCATTTAGCTCAGAGCTTTCACTTAGTGAGTATCCAGATGTGTGCTGTGTGCGGAACTGACTTGAGATGTTTTTTGCCCCGCGAGACATTGGTATTCTTGGGCCTAGGCTTAATGGGTGACCTTTTGGCTTCAGGAAGAGGGGGTGAAGCCTTCTGTAATCTCTCTTGAGTCATTACGCATTTTCCACATCTGGATGAGAGGTGAGGTGAACCTCCTCCCACCCACTGAATTTTAGATGGCCTGTCAAACAGGATACTTCCCCTTACCTGTCTCCTGCTCTGTGCTTTTTAAATATGACTTAAAATTTTTATTTTATGAGTATGGGCGTTCATGAATATGTGTGTGTGTGCCTGGTGCCAGAAGAGGAGGAGATTCCCTGGAACTGGGGTTACAGAGGCTTGTGAGTAGCCGTGTGGGTGCCGAACCAGGGTCCTCCGGAAGAGTAGTCAGTGCTCCTAACCACCGAACCAACTCCCCTGTCCTCATGCCCCACTGAACCTTTAAAGCTGAGGGTGTACTGGGGGATTTTTTCTCTTGCCTTAAACTCACAGAGTACACCTGTAGCTGGCCTGGTAGGAATAAGAACACGTGAGCTCGTGCCTCTCCTGTTAGCAATCAGACTACGGCCTCCAAGAAATTAGAATTCTCCTGGGACTCTCATGCTGTGAAAAGAAGGCTGAAATCTGGTCAAACCAGAGTAGAAACCTGAGCTCTCACAGAGTTCTGGGAACTTGCCAGACCACTGTTCAGGAGAGACTGGCATTGAGACAGCCAGGGGTCGGTTATAGGCAGGTTCATACCTGGTTAGTCAAGCATACCACTGGTCCTTTCCCTGAACCCTCCTATCAGGAGCCCAAGATGGGCTTGGAGGTGTAGGTCGCTGGGTCTCTAAAGTGGTGACATTGAGTTTCTGTTTTCTACATTTCACTATTTGTTTTTTTCTTTTTAAAATTGGCTTATTGAGGATACTTGGTCAAGAGTCTGGCTTGTTAGGAATGCCAGTGCCCAGGCTTTGACACTGATGACTCTGCTAAGAAATCTTTATTTAAAAAAAAAAAAAAAAACAAACAAAAACCAACAACAAGAACCCAGCACTTTTGTGGGTGAGCCCCCCATCTTGCCTTGACTGTTGAACACCATGAGAACGGCTTCAGAAGGCAGACAAGTGGGCCCTTATATCTGCAACTCACAAATGGTGTGGTTTTGCAAACCCCACAACTTCTGCAGTTAGGCAAATAGTTTGCATTTGCAGAGCAGAGCCTGGAGGTCTTTCCTGTTTAGGTCTAAAAATGACTGGGGTGTGCTTTGGAGCTTGAAAACTTCTGATCAGGGAAAGTTTATGGGAAATTTGACGATGACTATGAGGCCTCCTGGTCACAGTGTTGGCTGTATAAAGCACCTCTGTTTCTGAGGGTAATTTCTACTGGCTCAAAATAAAATCTTCAGTGTATCCTGAACAACCGATGTAGACTTACTTGCCTGAAATGGACAGAATATATTTTTGTCTGTTTGCTTGCTTAGTTTGCTAGAAACTAGTTGGGCAGCACAGGCTGCCCTGGACCTGGCATTCTTTCTCCCCGTGCCTCAAGGATTGGGATTGCAGGTGTAGGCACTTTAAGTGGTGCAATTCTGAAGTGTTGCAGTGCTGAGGGTTAAGGTTTCCCCAATAGGAGTGATGCAGCTTTGAGGGGAAAGGTATCCTGGCAGCTGGGAGCCAAGGAATACCAAAAAGTCACACCATACAACAAACCTCACAGAAGAGATTTATTGGGAAAGACACAAGAAGGTGAAGCAACAGGGAACTGAGCAGGAGGCAGGGTTTCTCGGGGGCAGAGTTTTCCAGGGTGGGGATTGTTGGGATTTCAAGTTCAGGGTCTGGTGGTTTTTTGAGTTCAGGGTCTGGTGGTTTTCTGAGTTCAGGGATTGGTGGGTTTGTGAGCTCAGGGCATGGTGAATTTTTAAAT